TTGTTCATCCAGCTCTACACCTTGTTATCTCATATCTAGGCAGTTGTTTTTAAAAAGGTTGCGGGTTTCCACAACTATTGCTGTCTCAAGCAATGAGTTCTAGACCCCAGCCACCCTCTAGAAGAAAAACAGTTATTACTCCGGTTGTTACAGTTGCTACTATCCCTGTGATAGTTTCAGCAATCAGTTTAAATCTATGCCCCTTAGTCACTAACATCTATGTTAAGATAAATATGCCCATTCTGGGCCCCTCAGTCTTGCACACCACAAAACTCCCCTTAGGTTCCTTTGCTCCTATGAGGGCAACCCAATGTATCCAATCTTTCTTCGGTTGTATTTTCCCAGTCCAGACTACATCCTTCTGGTTCACATCTGCACTTTCTGTCATGTAATAACATCCTTTCTACGATGAGGTGATCAGAACTGTACACAGTACTCATGCTATAGCTGAACTAATAATGTATACAGTTCCTTCAAAATCTGTTTCCTGTTTCTGCATTCAGTGTATAGGTTAGGAATGGAAAAAAAGTCCACATGTTCTGAACCATTTTATCGATCTGCTCATCTGATTGTAGATGAGGTTACATTCCTGCCTAAACCCTTTCACCCCTTACCAAGAACCTCTTGTCTTCCTTAATCAAGTCATCTGTTAGTCTACTAAACTCCAGTGGATACAAGCCTAGACTTTTCAAACTTTTCTTCAAAAGATAACATGCCCCTTTCAAATATTAGTCAAGTAAACCTCTGAACTGCTTCCAACACAACTCCATTCTTCCTTAAATAAAGAATTCAAAAAATACAATACGACTGTACCCCCCAAATGTGGTCTCAGCAATGCCCTGTGATACTGGAGTATGACCATACTACGTGATTATCTTCATATTACAAAGATATTACTATCTTGGGTAGTCTGTGCTTTTCGTCTCAAACTTCGTTCTCCTTTTTAGTATATCTGGTCATTGCTCTTTTGTCAACGTGTTCCAGTTTGTTTTTATACTGCCAATATTAGAGTTACTATTTGCGCATTACCTGTTTTGCTTTTTTCAAAAAAAACTTTCTACAAGTTGGAAACAGTCTGTTCAGATAGATACAGATATACGTACCAGAGCACTGTTGGCTAATTTGCTAGACATGGTTTTCACATTCATTTTTATATAGCATCAGTTGCTGTCATTATATTTCTGACATTGGTCTGCTCCAATTGTTGACATAAGTGAACCAATATTTGCACGCCAGTCCTTTGATGTCTTGGATCCTGTTGTTCAAATGCACTTACACTATTTGATTGCATGGTAACCTGATGCACCTGTTCAGTGATAACTGCTTGTAGAGGTTGGAAGGATGAGAGCGATTGAGGATGTGAGTCTTTACTGGAAACCGGATTTGAAGTTCATGAATAGGAAAACTTTTTTTCTTTCAGAAGCAAGTTAGAAACTGTATAAAGTATGAAGGCTCTCCCTCACTCCTAGTGAGGAGACAATAATTAGCTTAACTCTACAGATGGACTCTGAAAGATTCTTTGAAGATCATCTCAATATTGAGAAATAGGTATAACATGAGTAATAGCCACTGGCTTTTGTGAGAAGTAAAAGACTGTTAGATCTAGACCTTCACCTCAGGAATCCTATGTTATAGACAACCGGACTGATGTGATTTTTTTTTTTCCTGCTGTTCTGCTGCTACATGAAATGAGTTTTGAAATTCACAATCTAGCTGTTACATATTCTGCTAATTGTCCGTTTTAAGGTCCACGGAAATATTTAGCAACATCTCTCCAACCACTTCATGCTTCACTGTGACCTTTAGCTTCAAAATCTTTGACCAGTTCTGTGTCTCTTCTAAGTCTGATGTGAAGTTTGCTTGCAGGACATTTGACTTCAGGTAAATTTCTAAGACAAGTATTTTCCTCTGTGTAGTTAGACCATATTTTAAAAAATAGTTGTCTACAAATTAGTGTTGGATCATTTGAGCTGTCAAAGTCAACATCCTCTATATTTGTGTCAAGATTACCCATTTTTGAGCAGAACTGTTTGGATGAAGCAAAATAGCTATTTGCTTGATTATGCATTAGTCAGTGAGGTGGTACTAATAAACTGTTTGATAGTAGTAATTTGTTTTGTCAAATCTTGGTGATATCCTCTTGACCCACACCTTTCCACCCCTGTCCATAAGGGGTAAATTGCTTTTAAACTTGAATGATATTTATTGAACTTACTGGAAACTGCACAGAAGTTAATTCTGCTCCAGTTCAAAACGAGCAGGCATGTTTTTAAAGTGAGATGAGAAGGATTTAAAACGGACCTGAGGGGCAACTTTTTCCACAACGTGTTTCATGTGTGGAATGAACTGGCAGAGGAAGTGATAGACGCAGGTACGGTTATGACATTTAACAGACATTTGGGGTAAGTATATGAATAGGAAACGTTTGGAGGAATGTAGGCCAAGTGCAGGTAAGTGGGACAAGTTTAACTTAGGAAACTTGGTCGGCCTGGACGAATTGGACCAAAGACTCTGTTTATAGTTCATCCTTAAAAGGATTTAAGAGTTACCCAACTAGCTGAGATTACTTCTATTTTACTGAGGTGTTTCATTGGATTTCAGGTCTGTCTGAAGCTGAAATTGCTCGATATGTTGCCAGCCATCTTAAAATCTCGTGGGTCTGTCTTGAAAAATAGATTTTAAATTTGTGTACTTTGTGTCTGTATTGGGCACAACGTTATTGGTGTGTGTATATAACATAAATGCTTAAATATATAGTTAGTAAATTTTTAATTAAGTAGCCAAAGTTTCAGAATTTATCACATGAGCCGATGGGTAGTGCCGCACTCTCAGTTGCAGTGGCACTTTTTAAACGAAGGGTCCATTTACAGATTGCAGACTAATTATCTTAGTTGTTTTTTGAGGTGATGCCATTTTAATATAAGTAGCAAAGATGTTCTTGTTTGGGTTGCTGGCTATTGATTTATGTCCTTAAAAATATTGTAAATCTAGAGTATGAATAATTAACCTGGTCGATATTTTAAAATCACCTACTACACTAATGCCTAATGCAAAAAACATTAATTATTGGTAATGACAATTTTATGCAGGTTAATCTTTGCATTGTGTTTATCTGTTACAATTGACATCAGAAAGTTAGTGTTTTGATTTATGCATTTCACTGTCAAACATTTTGACCTAAAATAATTTGAAGTGCACCATCATGGTTTAGCAGCAATCTCAAATAGTATTCTTTGCATCACAATAGGGTTGGTGTGTATTTTTTTTAAACTTTAGACAATCAGATTTCTCTTTTGCCTGATTTGCATGACTCATTGTGACAGCATGCGTGCATCTGTGGAATTCTTTACCTCGGAGGGCTGTCAAGACTGAGTCATAAGTATATTCAAGGCTGATATAGATCTTTAATTAGTGAGTGAATCGAGGGTTATAGGGAAAGGCAGGAAAGTGGAGTTGAGGATTATCCGATCAGACATGATCTCATTGCGTGGTGGAACAGAGTTGATGGACTGAATGGCCTACATCGCTGGTATCTTATGGACGTTTCTCCTAATTATGCAAGTAAATGTTAATAATCTGATAACTGCAATAATCTTTGGAACAAATTGTTCAAATATGTTAATGAATGATTGTCACTCGAGTGACACTGCTACGTCCAACTACCATTTTAAAATTTGCTTCCATGGTTTGCACTTTTACGAATTCAGCCAACCAGCATTTACCAGAGGCTCTCAACAGTTCTTGGGTTTTCTGAATAAAAAGATCTCATTTTTCAGTTAATTGAGTGGCTCAGATACCTAATTTTCTCCTGAAATAGAATAAAATGGCCCTTTTGACATCAAATACAACTGATCTGTTGTAATATTTAAAAAGAAAATTCAGCTCATTTAATAGCCATTGACAAGAAGCCTTTGTCTTATGCTTGTTGAAAAGACTAGGATATCCAAATGAGATGCAGGGTAAACTAATTTCACGTGTTTTTCAACAAATTGTCTGAGCTAAACATCAGGTTAGATATTGCTTCTATTTTCTTCAACTAAGTGGATTGTTTCCCTTGGTGAAACAAATAGAAGTTAACGCTTGATTCTCTTTGAGAATCAATGAGCTGCAGCACAAGGACTAATGTGTGAGAAGTACTTGAGGTCAATCTTTCTGGCTGCTTATTGCCATTTTTAAGCTTTACTCATGTTAACTGAATTGAGTCAAAATTAGCACAATTACACTATAGTGTTACATTTATTAAGTTTCAATTATAGTATTTTAATTAGGATTTCAAAATTCCAAAGTACATTTCTAAATCTGTACCATATTCAGTTCACTGAGCATGTTTGTTTCTTGTTAGCATGAGTCAAACAAGTGTTCCCACTTTTACACGCACTAGTCTTGCCTAGCAGTGGTCATGTCCAATGTTCTCCTGGTGTCATGAGAATTACTGCAAAGTTGAACTTGAGATTACTTAGACAGTTAAAGGCTTTATTCTGCACGTGACTGGTATGTTTGACCTCAAAATGACCAATACTAATAGTCAAAATTAGGCAACATTCCATTCCCCAATGCTATTGTGCCTTCATTTGGAATTAATTCAAATAATGCATGTTTCGCTCTCCCTCTGTCAAGTAGGTACATTGACAATGAGTTTGTGTTTTATATGGTATGTGATACGGGAATGTATCTTGATTAGGATTTTCTTGTTAGTTTTTGAGTTCTGTTCTTGTAGGGCTGTGCCTTATTTGAAACTGACTTGTCAAAAATGCAGATGCTTGGAGATATTAAAATTTATAATGAAAAAATTGCACAATAAACTTATGGTGCTTCAATTGAAAGTCTTGAGTTCCAGTTTCCCGTTTGTTACCAATCTGCTCTATATTTGCTTTCCAGTATAATGCAAAAGATTTTTCATGAGTTAGTCAAGTGAAGAAAATTAAAACATTCCAAGAATAATACTCTGTTAATAGCTAGTGAAACGAAGTTTCCACAGAATTGCAGCTTCAAATTGGTTGTCCGTATCTCAGCTTGCCAGTAAATGTTGATGACTGGAATTGGTTCTTTCTTCAGACCGTGAAACTTATTTTGTTTTTGAGTCTGGAAGAATGATAAATTGGACCATGGTGATAGTGACTCAGTTTGGGTTTTTAACCAGAAAGTAAGAGTCACCTGACCTGAAAGATCTGAGCCCTTGGCTACTACTGCAAAATGAGGACTATGTTAGCGTGCTGTATTTCGGAGTTAAACACTCAATCTGAGCGTTTCACTGCTGAGTTTACGACTTCAGTAATTTTCCTTAACCATTTCAGTTCAAGTAGTTGTGCCTTCATGCCTTCTCAATCAACATGGGTTGAACTGAAAATGTATTGACCTATTAGTGATGATGATTTGCATTGTTATAAAGTACTTTTAGGTTAGATATCATTGACGGAATGACTTGGACGAGTGCATTCATTACCTGGGGTAGGATAACACATTCCAGGAAACAGTGTCTCAGTAATTTGGATTTCCAGTGATTGGAATGTAACTCCAACTTGATTTATTACAGGAGAATTTACCAGTCCCTGAAGAATCCTGACAGATTGGAACATTATCTGGGCTGAAATCGTGCATTTGTGCTGTCGGAGATCTGACTCACATCTGTCTTCTTTTAGAGTCGCGCCCCAATTTCAGCTAAGCTTGTGGCCAACATGTTGTCAGTTGCTGGAGCAGATCATATCATCACCATGGATTTGCATGCCTCTCAGATACAGGTTAGTGTAAAACATGACATCATTTTAGTCAAGTAATAGCAACTAGGCTATCTGACCATGCCAAGATGCCTCTTATTGGGCAATATTTTTCTAGAGGTGTAACAATTTGCAGCATGTAGAGTCTTCTTGGCCACATGTCTGTTACTCAACTGCACAACTTATTTATTTAATGTAGTCAATTGAAAACAATGAGTTGTTCCCCGCAAAAAAGAAGTATCTCTGGCCTTAATCAAAGAAAACCGTATATTTAAGGGAGTCTTCCACAGATGTCACTGAGTGCTAAATCCACAGCCAGTGAGTTGGTGCAATTCGATTGGAGTATTCTGCAAATGATAGCTGAGCTTTATTAAGGTCTTATTTTAGTCTGGTACCTGGAGTAGCAGGAATTCGACCTTGAGTATTCCTCCATTGAGTATCTTGGCAGACCCACAAATCAACATGTGTGGCTAATGATCAGAGGCAAAAACAGTTTGTAAATGTAGATATAAATCCACTCTCCTTTTAAACAGGGAGAGCTGCAGATACTGTGCATAAAAAAGAATTAAGAGTCGTCCCTCGAGTGTTACTTGTAGTAAATGCCTGCCTCTGCACCCACTTTGACCTAAAATTTGTAGTGAACGTGATGGGAGGACAAAAAGATAAGGGACTGGACTGAATTGTTAAACTTTTACGTAATATCCCAACAGCAGCATATTGGTCAACATGAATTAGACGTTGTCTGTGTAGATGGCAAAATGAGTGATTTTATTTTCAACTGCAAATTCTGGTGATTTCATCAAGTTCTACATGTTTTGTGTTTTACATATTTAAAATGTTCAGTATTTTAAAGGTGACAATTCTGACTAAATAATTCATCAAAATAGATTTGCTGAAGTTGTAGAGTACAGGTAATTGGTTATATTTAATGTATCAATTGTATCTACTAATACATTTATTCTAACTAAATCATTCCAATGACATGAATGAAGAATTGCCATTTTATATCTACCTTGGATGAAATGCTTTCATTGATCAATTGGTTGACCTCCTATCTGTAGGAGCACTTAGAACAAATATAATTGTTACAATCTCAAATTTTTCAATGGATGTTTGTTAACATAATAAATGCTATTATTTGAAAAACAAAATCTAAAGATTCCGGGTGAAGGATTCAAAGCAAATTTAATCACCGAGTTTTTGGAGATACCATTGAAGCTAAGAGTACTGTACATTTTTAGCCTTTCTCCAAAAACTGATCACTTTAATTATCCTTGAATAGGGTTTCTTTGATATTCCTGTGGATAACTTGTATGCAGAGCCAGCAGTACTGCAGTGGATAAAGGAGAATATTCCAGAGTGGAGGAATTCAATAATTGTCTCTCCTGATGCTGGTGGAGCCAAAAGGTAACTACCTTTTGAGTCCAGTTATAAATATACAGTTTGCTTGGTCTGGTTGTGATATTAAGATAGAGTCAATACAACATGCCAGTGAAAGAAAAAATAGCATTTTAATTACTTTTTCATCGCTCATGTTTCACAGAAACGAGAGATGCCAAAAAGCAAATGCTAGAATAATTGTTGTATTGGGTACAGTCTTCAATTATAAATGCAAAAATAACTTTCCTGATTCACATCACATGCCTCACCATTTGATCTGTATAACGCTGCCATTATTTCAATTGGTAAACTGCTAAATTTTGCCTTGGGTTCCAGTTTGATTATTGATGTTATAATCACTTCTTTGTGGTTTTACTTTAGGGTAACATCAATTGCTGATAGGTTGAATGTTGAATTTGCACTGATCCATAAAGAGAGAAAGAAGGCAAATGAGGTAGATAGAATGGTGCTCGTTGGCGATGTTAAAGATCGAGTGGCCATTCTTGTGGATGACATGGCAGACACATGTGGGACAATATGTCATGCTGCTGACAAGTAAGTAAATACGAGCAAATAGTAAAAATAGTTCCCGGAAGATTATTTTTTCCAGTGAAGAATACTGGTGTTGCTGTGTACACAGGGCTGGGGGAGAAGGAACATTTGGAAAACCCAGGAAGCAGATGTGCCTTCTGTTTCCTTGAGTTGAAGCTTCATCAAGGGTTTAAAGTTGAGGCCAAATAAGGGTTTGACTGTCCTACATAATATTCTTGTTCAATTATTTTGTGATGTGGTCGTTTTTGAGGAGAGCACACTCACGATGGATATATTTACACAACTTACATTTCTGGTTTTTGAACGTGGGCTATTTTTAAAATATATTTTAGTAGTTAGCCAAGTTCATATGAACTAGTACAATTTTTTGGAATTGGCATGTTTCTTGATCTCCATTTATCTTTTAAAATTTTACTTTTGATACGCTGCTTAAAAGTTATTCCTCTTTGGATGGGTATAACACCGAGAATTCTTACCTTCAGTGTGAAAGGACAAGGGATGGGTCCCTAGGAATTCAAAGGTGGAAACAACTATTTGACCCATTCTTGAAGCATACAAGACTATAAATCCTGTCAAGTTTCTTGATCAACCTCCTGCATTTGTTTCACTGGACAAGTAGCTTCGAACTTCGCAGTTTAGCTTTCAGGATAGGGAACACAGTTTTTTTTTAAAAAAAGTCTCCATGAGAATTTTCAGAAGCTCTACCTTTTAGTTTTAAGGTGCTTCTCATTCTCTCTAACCCATTTATTAGATGATACAGCAAATAGTAACAATGCTGTCTGTATTTTGATCTGTTTGTGTTCCAAATTCTACATTCCTGACTATCCCCGATGGCGTTTGATTCCTTAACTAGAAATCATTTACCCCCATCTTAAAAATATTCGATGACCCCGCCTCTCCCACCTTCTGAGGCAGAGTTCTAAAGAGTCACAACCTGCTAAGCAAAAAACTTTCCTCTCTGCTGTACATGGGACACCACTAGTTTTATAAGTGTCCCTTGTTTGGATAGACCCACAAGAGGAATCCAGAATTCTAAATCTGGATCTTCTAAACTTCAATTATATCACTCCTCGTGTTTCTCAACTCCAGTGAAAGCAAGCCCAGCCTGACCAATATAGCCTTATTTGCACAACCTGCTCATTCCAGATATCAACTTAGTAGACCTCCTCCTCGCTCTGTACAATATTCAAGGTACGGCCTCACCGGTGCCTTGTGTAACTGAAGCATAACCTCTATAGTTAATGTTTAATTCCTCTTGTGATTAAGGATATCGTTCTATTAGCCTTTATAAACACTTGCTTTACCTGAAAACTAATGTTTTGTGACTCATGCTAGAACAACGAGATCTCTCTGTACTTCAGACTTTTGCAGTCATTGTCGATTTAAATTGTCCACTTTTATTTTTCCAAACTGAACAACTTCATATTTTCCCACATTAATGGTGTGAATTGCCTTGTCATTGTGTGTCCGGTTAAAGAGATTGCTATGTAAAATCAATATGTAGAGTTAAAAGGGTTTAATTGAAACTACACCAAACTTGTAATTTATGTTTAGGCAACATTAACCTTGACACATTTCTTGAATGCTTTTCTTCACTTGTTCTGATGAACACCTCTAATAAGGAATAGCTTTTCACAACCATGTTTCTTCTTCCCTGGAGAGCAGGCTGCTAATCCAAGAATGGTATTCTTTCTCCTGCACAACCCTGAATATTACTTTCAAAGTGTGTTCTACAAAGCAAATAGTCATTCTTGTCTTTTCCACCACCATATTCAATACTTTTATGTGGTCCTTGATCTGTTTCAAAGGAGACACAATTTTGCTTGCATTTCATTGGTGTGTGGTTTTGGATCTATTCTTAATGAGACCACTGCACCTATTATCAATTTACCTAATTGCCTAGTAGGAGAATTGATTAATTATTTAAAATACATAGTCTTCTCAGTCTCTCTCAAAATCCATTTTGAATGCCCCTGAAGAGAGATGAAGTATGGCACTTATGATTTCACTGCTGCTGCACACCTAATGAGATACTGACCTTGAAATGTTTAAGATAGGCATCTGCTGCACTGCCTGTGTACAATGTGAGATGGAAGGTTAATTTACCCATGATGGAATCCCCATGGTGCCAATGGAAATAAAACTGATGGATCAGGTTTCACCCTTTAAACTTTCACTGTAACAAAGTATCTAAAAACAGCATAATTCAAACATCGATTAACAGCTAAAGGATATAGAACATAGAACATGGAACAGTACAGCACAGTACAGGCCCTTCGGCCCACGATGTTGTGCCAAACTTTTGCCCTAATCCTAAGGTCCATCTAACCTCCACCCCTACCTTATACTATCATCCATATGCCTATCTAATAGCTTCTTAAATGCCCCTAATGAGGCCGACTCTACTGCCATCTCCGGCAATGCATTTCACGCCCCGACCACTCTCTGAGTAAAGAATCTACCTCTGACGTCTCCCCTATATCTACCTCCACTGACTTTAAAACTATGCTCCCTCGTAATAACTACCTCCACCCGAGGCAAAAGTCTCTGGCTGTCTGTCTATACCTCTGATCGTTTTGTACACCTCTATCAAGTCAACTCGCATCCTTCGTCGTTCTAAAGAGAAAAGCCCTAGCGCTCTCAACCTTTCCTCATAAGACCTTCCCTCCGTTCCAGGCAACATCCTGGTAAATCTCCTCTGCATCTTTTCCAACGCTTCCACATCTTTTCTGTAATGAGGCAACCAGAACCGGACACAATACTCCAGATGTGGCCGAACCAGGGTTTTGTATAGCTGGAACATAACTTCATGGCTCTTGAACTCAATCCCTCTATTAATGAAAGCTAACACACCATACGCCTTCTTACCAACTCTATCCACCTGGGTGGCAGCTTCCAGGGAACTGTGGACATGAACCCCAAGATCCCTCTGCTCCTCCACACTGCCAAGAATCTTTCCGTTAACCGTGTATTCTGCTTTTGAGTTTGTCCTTCCAAGATGAATCACCTCACACTTTTCAGGGTTAAACTCCATCTGCCACTTCTCAGCCCAGCTCTGCATCCTGTCAATGTCCCTTTGTAACCTAGAACAGCCCTCTGCACTGTCCACAACTCGACCCACCTTCGTATAGTCCGTGAGCTTACTAATCCACCCTTCCAGTCCTTCATCCAACTCATCTACAAAAATCACAAATAGAAGAGGACCCAGAACAGATCCTTGTGGTACACCACTCGTAACTGAGCACCATGTTTAAAATTTTCCATCCATGACCACCCTTTATCTTCTAAGGGTCAGCCAGTTCTGAATCGAATCTGCCATATTTCCCCCTATCCCATGCCTCCTTACCACCTTCATGAGCCTACCATGGGGAACCTTATCAAATGCTTTACCTAAATCCATGTATACCACATCCACTGCTCTACCTTCATCCACGTGTTTGGTCACCTCTTCAAAGAATTCAATAAGATTTGTGAGACATGATCTACCCCTCACAAATCCATGCTGACTATCATGAATCAAACTGCCTTTCCAACTGTTCATAAACCCTATCTCTCAGAGCCCTATCCAATAATTTGCCCGCCACTAATGTAAGACTAACTGGCCTGTAATTTCCGGGGTTATCCCTATTCCCTTTTTTGAACAAGGGAATGACGTTTGCCTCTCTCCAATCTTCTGGCACTATACCCATGGACAGTGAGGACGAAAAGATCATCGCCAAAGGCCCTGTGATCTCTTCCCTCGCTTCCCATAGAATCCTTGGATAAATCCCATCAGGCCCGGGGGACTTATCTATCTTCAACTTCCTCAAAATTCCTAGTACATCTTCCTTACTAACATAGACCTCCTCTAGCTCCCAGCTTGTTTCACACTGTTCTCCTCTACAACCCGGTCCCTCTCAGCTGTGAATACCGAAGAAAAATATTAATTAAGGACCTCTCCTATCTCTTTAGGCTCCGTGCACAAATTTCCTTTACAATCCTTGATCAGCCCTATCGTTTCTCTGGTCATTCTCTTATTCCTCACGTACGTGTAAAAAGCCTTGGAGTTTTCCTTGATCCTATCTGCCAAAGTTTTCTCATGCCCCCTATTTTAAACAATAAGATAAATATCACTTTAAATAGTCAATACAGCAACATTACAGCTGACATCGTTGCAGCCACTTGCATTGTTTGGGCAAAAATGTGCTAGCATGAGCAATCTCTGTTTTGAAATCCAATTTTGTTTTGTACGATCTATTCCTCCTTTCCATCAAATTGTTTCAGTCCTTGAACCATGTTCACCAGCAGCTGTATTTTATCCAAAATCCATGGACATGGTAGCACCAACAAAGTACACAGCAAAGAGCCCTCTCTTAACAGGGAAATGGCATCATTGATCACATGAGTTCCTAAATAGTTCCTCTTTAACTTTTTAGTTGGTCTGATGGAGTTCACTGCCGAGTCAGTTTTGTCACCGAGTCTTATCCAATTTCCAGTTTCTTTCCACCTGTGTGACACAAAGTAACATAGACTCTATAGTCAATGACCTGCTTCAATACAAGGACCAAATTAAAATCTCCCAAACATAAAAGCTGTTTATTAAGCGAGAACCTTGCTCATTTTCTCTCGTGAAATTTGTGTTCTAAACTGTCAAACAGTAACATAGCTGAAACCCAACCCAACTGCAGTTAGCTTTCTATTTATCCTTGCTTCTCAAGCTCTTCATCCCCATGGCTACCTTGGGTCACATGGGTGTTTGTAACCTAAAGATGTTATAATCAGGAAACTTACCTTTCAATGTACTTCCCAGTCTGCCCTGATCTTAAAGGACATATTGCACAGAAAGAAAATGCAGGCCTTCCCGAAAGCACCTATTGTGAAGTGAATAAATGTTACAGAAACCTGCATTTACCTGACAAGTAGTCTTATTTCATAATGGATCTCTAGAGTCTAAAAGTGCCATCGTGGATCCTAAACAGAAGGAAAAGGAGCAAGATCTTGATTCTGGATATGCTGAAAAATCGAATCATTTGTTTAAACAAAATTAAATGAGTAGAATTTAAAAAGAAACACAGGACCCAATGTCTTACGCTTTCCCATGGTGACTGTCCTGTGCAGACAACTTCCTGGGAACCATAATGGGAAGATTGTTTTATAGTCACTGGACTATTACTCCAGAGGCTGAGGCTAATGCTCTTAGCATGCAAGTTTAAATCACACTGGCAGCTTGTGGAATTTAAATTAATTTAACAAAGTCTGGAATTCAAAGCTTGTCTCAATTAAATTAATCTCTCTTAAGGAAAGATATTTGCCATCTTGACATGTCTGGCCTTCACATGACTCCAGAACTTTGAACTTCAAGCTACTCCATTCAAGGTCAATTAGGAATCATTGGCAAGATAATTTTGAAAGTGATGGCTATTTCTGAAAGAACTTTTTAAAATGATACTTTACTCAAATGGTATCTGGTAAACAATGTGCTGTGGGATTTTTATAGGGAAGTCATATTATAAAGTTCTGGGAAGAGGCAGTAGAGAAAATTCTGTACTGAATTTTATCTGGAACTTCCTAAATCTAGTTTACTCCGATGGGGACAACTCTTTGTTCCTGAAAAGTAATTATGTCACTACAGAACTACTTGCTTGCCAAACGGCATAAGCAGCAAGTGATAGACAGAGCCCAAATGATCCTAAAGCCATCAGATCTGACATGAGCTTTGCAGTCATCCCACATCTAGTCATGAATGTTTGTGGACAATTAAACAACTTGAGGAGGAGGCTTCATGAATATCCTCATCCTCAGTGATAGAAGAGTCAGACACATGAATGCAAAACATAAGTCTGAAGTATTCGCAGAAGTCTTCAGCCAGAGGTGCTGAGTGGATGATCCATCTCGGCTTCCTCCGGTGGTCCCCAGCATTACAGATGCTAGTCGTCGGCCAATTTGATCCACTCCACACGATATCAAGAAATAGTTGAAGGCACGGGATACTGCAAAGGCTATGGACCCTGACAACATTCTAGCAATAGTACTGAAGGCCTGTGCTGCAAAACTTGCCACTCCCCTAAGCCAAGCCGTTCCAGTACAGTTACAACACTGACATCTACTCAACAATGTGGATAATTGCCCAAGTATTTTACCGTATGTTTAAAAGAAAAGAATAAATCAAACCAGCCGATTACTATCCCATCAATCTACTCTCAATCATCAGTAAAGTGATTGAAGGTGTCATCAACAGTGGTGTCAAGTGACATCCAGTTTGGGTTCCATCAAGACCACTCAGCTCCTGACCTTATGACCTCCTGACCTTGGTTCAAACATGGACAAAAATGCTGAACTGAGGAGTTAAGATGAGAGTGACAGCTGTCGATGTCAATGCTGCATTAATCTGAATGTGGCATCAAGGGGACACCCATTGATTCCAACTTTGCTAGGGAAAGGGGACAAATTCTCTGCTGGCTTGAGTCGTACCTGGCACATAGGAAGATGGTTGTGGTGGCTAGAGTTCAGTCATCTCTGCAGGAGTTCCTCAGGCTAGTGTCCTAGGCCCAACCATCTTCAGCTACTTCCCTGCATCGTAAGTCAGCGTGGGGACATTCACTGATTTGCACTATTTGATCCTTGAGATACTGAAGCAGTCCATGTTCAAATGCAACATCATCTGGACAATATCCCGGCTTGGGCCGACACCATGGCCAGTAACATTCATCCCACAAATGCCAGCCAATGACCATTTCCAGTATTCTAACGAACACCCCTGGACGTTTAATGGTGTTACCATCACTGAATACCCCTACCTGCCCAATCAACATTTGAGGGCTACACTACCACTGACCACAAATTCAACTAGACTTGCCACACTAGTCAGAGGCTAGAAATCTTCTGGCGAATAATTCATCTTCTGGCTCCCCATAGTCTTTCCACCATCTACAAGGCAAAAGTCAGGAGTATGATGGAATATTCCCCACTAGCCTGATAAGTGCAGCTCCAACAACACTTGAAACTTGACCCTATCCCCGAAAAAGCCAGTTTGATTGGCACTACATCCACAAGCATCCTTAATAGCAGCAGTGTACTATAAGATGCACTGCAGAAATTCAAAGATTGTTAGACAACACCTTCCAAACCCATAACCACTTCCATCTAGAAAGACAAGGGCAGCAGATATATAGGAACTGCAAGTTCCGCTCCAAGCTACTCACCATCCTGACTTGGAAATATCACTCTTCTTTCACCGTCACTGGGTCAAAATCTTGGAATTCTCTCCTTAACGGCATTGTCAGTCAACTTGCAGCACGTGGAGTGCAGCAGTTCAAGAAGGCAGCTCACTACCACGTTCTCAAGGGCCACTAGTGACTGGCAATAAATGCTAGCCACCCAGCGATGCCTATGTCCAAAGAGTGAATAAAATAAATTATATTCATGTTAAATTGGTCATTCCTGCTTTTATGGGTGAGGTATGGGCTGCTGTTGAAAACTTGAGCTGTCCAAAATGGTTATACTAATACAGATACTGAAATTGTATTTAAACAGAAGAATAGCGTTCCGGCTTGTCACTTCAGAAAATCCAGAGTTCTCATTCATAAGAGAATGATAGTTTGATCAAATGCCACTTTAAAAGGCGAAACTCCTGCATAAGTGGAATTTGAATATTATTTGTATTGTTATCAATAATTTTAGACTCCAGCTTCACTCATGGTTTGAATTTACTAAGATACTCTAACAGATTGCTTCTTGTGATTAGCTCATGGGTGACTTTTTTATTTTCTCTGACATGCCAGTCTGGAAAAACGAGGAGCAGGAGTAGGCCTTTTAGCCCTTTTGTGTTTGCTCTGCCATTCAATAGGATCATGACTGATCCTCTTTCTCAATGTCATATTCCCACCTACCCATGCCCCTTTATCTATCTTTTTCTTGAGTATATGCAGTGATTTGGCCTTGACAGCTTCTGTGGTAGAGAATTCCACAGGTTCAGTACTCTGTCAAAAAAAAATTCCTCATCCAAATCCTAAATAGTCTGCCCTGTATCCTGAGACTCCATCCCCTGGTTCTACATTTCCCAACTGCGGAAAATAGCCTCCCTGCATCTCTTCTGTGCAGCCCTGTTAGAATTTTATATATTTCAATCAGGTCCCCTCTCCTGCTTCTAAAACTCTAGTAAATACAGGCCCAGTTGAACCTATCTGTTCTCATAGAGCAGTTTTGCCATCCTGGATATCAATGTAGTGACCCTCTACTGCAGTGCTTCTACAGTAAGTATATCATTTCTTAAATAGGGGGACTAAAACTGCTTTCAGTACTCCTGATGTGGTCTCACTAAGGCCTTGTGTAAAGGCAATAAGACAGCCCTACTATTGAACACATTCTGTTGGACCGAAGGCAAATGATATATTGGCCTATCTACTTGAATTGACTGGTGTCCAAAACCACTCAGATCCCTGTGTACTTTGCACTTCGCACTTCCCAATATATCACCACTTAAATAATACCCTTCCTTTCTGTTTTTCACATCCAAGTGTAGAGCTTCACATTTAGCCACATTGCATCTGCCGTTTGTCTGTCCACTCACTCAACTTGTCTAAATCACTTTGAAACATCCTTGCTGCCTCCTCTCAATTCTCAATTGTGCTCAGTCTTGTGACATCAACACACTTAAATTTTGCATTTGGCTCGATCCAAGTTGTTTATATATCAGAATAGAAGCATTGATGGTTCTGGTAATGAAAGTGGAAATATAAATCATCTACCTTGTTGATCACTGCCTCAAAGCAAGTGCACTATTGTTTGTAAACAGTGTGTCTTGATTTCTGGTAACAAACCCACAAAATGTTAAACCTTATGGACGTTAATTTTTTGTTTAAATATCTTTGCAATACTTTATATTGTATTGTTCCTGTAGATTTTAGTCTCCTTTGTGTTTTGTTCTTCAGGTTGCTGTGTGCTGGTGCTACCAAAGTTTATGCTATCCTTACTCACGGTATCTTCTCTGGCCCTGCCATTAGTCGAATAAATAATGCTGCATTTGAAGCTATTGTTGTTACAAACACCATTCCACAAGAAGAAAAAATGAAAATTTGCTCAAAAGTTCGGGTAAGATTGATCTTTGGATTTAATTTGAAAGAATGTATTGAATACAAAACCACTTAGTCTGGTTTCTTTCCTTTCAGGTGATTGATATATCGATGATCCTTGCTGAGGCAATACGCAGGACCCACAATGGAGAATCTGTGTCATATCTTTTCAGCCATGTTCCCCTGTAAGGTGACGAGACTTCAGATCTACTGAGTAGTTCTGGTCTGAAAGTTGCTCTGTTTGCATATCTGAGGAACCCATCATTTACGTACTGGAATACTGCACACCCAATAAGAAAGGGCCCACTGCTGTATCAAACTGGAAGTTACATCCATATTTGCAAGTTGAAAACATAAAAACATAACTATTTCAAATGTCACGGACTGGATTTTATTTCTCTCAATGCACAGTGGAAGGATGGCCGATCTGTTTTTTGTACTTTTGAAAATATAATCTTTCATGAAGTGAATTTCTATGAAATCTCAAACTTGTTAATGGCTATGTGGCTTCCTTATACCAGTGCACAAGTCTGTTAAATATTTGTGGCTATGTGCTGATATTGTTTATTTTATGAGGAAACAAATTTTTGAGGTGCAACCATAGTAATAATTGCCAACAGACATTCCATAAGATATTAAAACTGATTTGAACTTTCAGACATGGTCAAATATTTGCATTCCGCAGCAAGAGCGAAACTGGCCAATGAACTTTTTAGTTGGTTAATAAGTGAATTCCACTACCAATATAATTTTGAAGTCTAAATACAGATCTTGCAGCCAAATTGCAGTGTGTCAAGTGGTTTAAATAAAATATCTCTGCAGAAACAGTAGCTCTTCAATAATGTGCTGTCTTTGTCCAGAATGCAGATGTGCAGAAGCTCATAACAATATAAGAAACGCATTCTTTAGTGCTGCAGCTTCATAGAGAGCAAAGCACAAGTCCAGCCTCTTCCCGTTTGCAATTGCTAACGTACAGCTGCTTCTGATAAACAGGGTGTTGATTTTAAAGAGCATTAGTCCCTTTAGAGAATAGGCAGCTTCTGAGCTCTTGTTTGAATTTTGCACATGGCCTTTTTTATCTTGGTGAGCAACCTCTTTCAAAAACTATTCAAATACATGATTTGGGATGACTCAAAATAAAGTTGAAGCTCTTTGTTTCACTGTATGTGCTAATTAACAATACCGCAGTGCTGTGGGTCCAGATGTCAGAGGAAAAGGTTTTCTGACAAATGCAAAGCTGTTTTGTTTTAAGTGTGGGGTAAGGGATATCTATGCAGCGAATGTGCAAGGCACTTTTGTCCTTTGTTGGCTTCCTCACCTCATTAAAGTAATAATGTACAATTCTGAATTCAACTCTTATTTTGTCTTTAACCTTGCAATGTCTACACAAGGTAAAATGCTTCAGACGACCATACCAGCAGATCACCTTTTGGTACTGTGTATGTTGGCTGGGGGTTTACATTCAAAAATATGTTACACTGCTAAAGTTCTGTGGAACTTTGTGATCCCTTCAAGGTCTCAAGATGTAACTGTTTTGTTCCTTGTTAGTGGCTATTTGCTCTTAGCAAATACTCAACTCCAGCAAAAATCAAACCAGCTTGCAAATTTTTATTTTTATGCTATGTAATTTATTAAGTTAGCTGAATAAGCGAAATTTTTGTAAAGCATGTTGGAATTGTTTGCTGTTCAAATTCAAATTATCATCACTATTTTGTGGGGATTCTAAATTGTCCTTGATAATTGTCTGTTTACGCATGTACTCCTGTTTTATGTTGCTATTTGCAGAATACAGAGGCAAAAGACAAAGGATGGTCTAAGCAGTTGGGCAAATGTGACATGACTCAATATTTGCCTCTGGCTTTTTTGTGACAGTGGGACAGGACTGATGGAGAGATGGCAAACCACTTAAGTTTTAGTAATCATAGTTTCTAGACATGCTCGTGATAAGTTTGAGCTGTGGCAGGAGAAATCTTGAGGTACAAACACTTTGGGAGGGAGATGAATTGAGAATGGGAAGTGAGGCTGGAAATGGAAGTACTAGAAAAAAAATTGGGAGAAATAGATGACATTCTAATATTTAAGGCCAATGGAAATACCTAGTGAGGTTTAGGAACAGTAGCTGCATTGTCAACGTGGAGCATTTGAAAGGAGGTAAAAGTATAAGATATAGGAACAGAAGTAGGCCATTCAGCCCATCAAGTCTGTTCTGCCATTCAATATTTTCAATAAAATCATATCTGATCATCCTCAAATCCACTTTCCTGCCTCTTCCCTATAACCCTTGATTTCCTTACTGATTAAAAATCTATCTCTGCCTTGAATACTCTTAGCAAGCAGTCCAGTCTCAACAGTCCTCTGTGGTAAAGAATTCTACAGATTCACTACCCTCAGAAGAAACTGCTGCTCATCTGTCTCAATTGTGACCATAAATCACCCTTTCTCCACCCGTCCCTGCTCCTGGACTCTTTTTCATGTTGAAGTAACTTGTCAGCATTTATCCTGTCAATTTCCCCTAAGGATCTATCATTTCATTACAGTCTCCTCTCATTCTTCTACATTCCAGTGTGTACAAGCCCAATCTGCTTAATCTCTCCTTATAAAGTTCCTCAATATGAGATCAATGTAGTGAACTTTTTCGATTTTGATTTATTACAGTCACGTACTGAGATACAGTGAAAAGTGTCTTCATGTATAGCAGGGCAATCAAACAATGCAGAATGTAGTGTTGAGGTGCATGGGTGTAGCATTATTAGGAGAAATATTCTATGATTTGGGAGCCCTGTCATGTAAATACTGTGGGTGGGGTTGTGAGGAGAAATGTGGAGTGTAGTAGTAGTCGAGGTCAGTTTTGGGAAGGTGATTTAAAGAATTTAGGAGGGTTGTTTAGAATGAGGTGGGCTGCTTAGGTAATAGGAATGAAGGTGCCTGCTTTTTTTTTTGGGGGAGTGGGTAGTAGAAAATTGAGTCTTTATGGGTAATCCTATCCCCACCAATGATAATTCCAGTACGTGAGCTCTAAAGGTTAAGTGTTGATATCTCTGACAACTTCAGATTATATATTGCCACTTGGCAATTTCAACATAAACTAGCTATGCACTAATTTAAATGCCACTATTTTTTTACTGCTCCTGACTTGAGAGTTATGAAAAATGTTTGCCGGAACCTGCTACTACTCGGGGAGGTGGCGGGGGGAAGAAGCTATACAGTCACTTCCCTGATCACCGGTCAGCAAGTGGTTTATTAAAATACTTTAATTACAATTTCAGCCAGGGATTTGATCATTTTCATCCTGGACACATGGCAAACTGTGTTAGAACAGTACAGATAATGTAGTGGCAACTGGAACAATTCAATCAAGGCTATATAGCTTTTGTGTGCCTGGCATAATTAAGTGTAAAAAGAGATAACCAATTATACTTCAAACAGGGCATGCATTTTTGCACAAGCTTTTTGATAGAGCTAGATAGGAGTGTTAAAGATGGATGTAACTCACTGTGGACAAATCTTAGCATTTTGAAAGCTACATGATGGATGAAGCTTTGTGAATTCACTGTATGATGCCATTCCAGGATATTAAAGTTGCAGAATATTGCTATGAACCAAATACTGGACTTTTAAAAATGTTTTTATTTGATCTAGCAACTAAAGAAGTTGCACATACATAGTTCCCTTTGCATCCTCTGAGGATCCAATGTGCTTTGCAGCTAATGAATTATTTATAACATACAAACAATGGTTTGTAGGCAACATCCAAGATTGCACAAGTAAGCAAGAAAATGAAATCACCTAATAGACTGTTGTTTGATAATAGATTAATATTAAGCCTGGTAGATTTCTTCAAACAGTTGAATGGGATGTATTCAGAGCAAACAGGACTTTACATGAAAAATATCATATTGACATCTGGGAGGTGTTAAAAGAACAAAAAGATCTAGGGGTACAGGTTCATAGCTCCTTGAAAGTGGAGTCACAGGGTGGTGAAGGTGGCTTGCAGCATGCAAGCTTTCATCGGCTAGAGCATTGAGTATAGGAGTTGGGTTGTTTTGTTGCAGTTGTACGTTTGGAGTACTGCATGCAGTTTCTGGCTGCCTTGCTACAGATGGGATATTATTAAATTAGAAAGAGTGCAGAAAAGATTTACTCGGATGCTACCTGAACTGGAAGGCTTGAGTTATAAAGAGATATTGGATAAGCTGGGACTTTTTTCCTGGAGCACAGGAGACTGAGAGGTCACCCTTTTATAGATGTCTATAATGAGAGGCATTGATATGGTAGGTAGCCAACAGCTTTTCCCCATGGTAGGGGAGTCTAAACCTAGAGGGCATAGGTTTAAGGTGAGAGGGGAGAGATGCAAAAGGGTCTAGAGGTGAGTGTCTGGAACGGGATGCTCGAGGTCATGGTGGCAGCGAGTACAATTTCATCATTGAAGAAACATTATGGAGGTACATGGATGGGATAGGTATGGAGCGATATTGACCAAACACAAGCAAATGGGACTTAGTTTATGAAAACTGGGCAGCATAGGCAAGTTAGGCTGAAGGGCCCATATCTATGCTGTAGACCTCTGACTCTATGTCATCAACATACCTTAAAGCACTTGCCGGGATCTGTATAGAGGATTTCATGAGATCTGTGAAAATTAACCAGATAATGTGCAAAATAGAATCATGCTGTGCTAAATAGACAAATAAGGATCTGAATTGGGACAAGAGATGCCTAAACTACCTTTTAATCACTGGGTGAAGTCAACTGAGAGTCAATCAGAGCCATATATACATGTTCACAGAGATTTTGGTTGAATTGGTTGGGATCAGCCATGTTACATGATAGCAGCAGTAACATTGATGTTTAGAAAAAGACACTGAGGAAAGGGATTGAAGTGGGACAAGGAGATTAAACTTGCATACATAAGACAAAGAACTGTGGATGCTGGAAATCTTTTAAAAAGACAAATTGCCAGAGAAACACAACAACATGTCTGGCTACATCTGTGGAGAGAATAAAAGCAATTCTGAAGGAGGATCACTGGACTCGAAATGTTAACTCTTCTCTCCACAGAAGTTGCCAGACCTCCTGAGTTTCTCCAGCAATTTGTCTTTTTATAAGATTTCCAGCATCCAGGTTTTTTTTGTTTGAAATATGTAAGTTTATCTCCTTGCCCCGCTTCAATCCCTTTCCTCAGAGTGTCTTTGCCCAGCTCAATTCTAAGTACTGTAGAACAATTAAATATTTATCTTCTGTAAAATTGCACAACTCATTTCAATAGTGTAACTTTTATTTTGCAGAAAAACATACTTAAGGAGATATCTGCTTTGATTTATAACAAGGAAAGGGGGGCCTCCAGCAATTACTGATGGGGTATTTTTGTAGCAAGATTTAGAGTAAGATCCTGCCTTCTGATTTAAGGAATCTGGGTGATGGCACATTTATTGCTCAGCTTCAGTTACCCTGAGAGATTGGTGGCATTGAATTGTTTGCAGTTCAGCTTTACAAAACGTTGCTCCCATCAATGAAGGAATGGCAAGTCGGGATGATGTGTGACTTGCAGCTCATGGAGTTCCCACGATCTTCCTATTTTCTTTTGGGGTGTTGATTAAAGGACTAAAAAGATGGTGAATAAAGTATGGAGAGTTGCTCCGGTCATACTGCTAACTAATTACTGCACATGATGTATGTGTTGAAAGAATTTTGAGTTTACTGGTAAGAAAGTAAAGCCAATGAATAATGTGCTTTATGTTGGATGGTTTTGAGGCTCTTGAAATGCCTCAGCCTCAATTGCAGCATTTATAATTCCTGTCCGGATATGTGGTGATCCACCCATGACGCCCAAACCAGAATTTGTCGCAGTCCAGACCATGGATTTCGGAACTGTGGGTCATAGTTTGGGATTCTGAGCTATGAGGCAGTAATGCACACCTGGAGCTCAGACCCAGTTTTGACAGCTGTGATATCTATAAATGTTGATGTTTTCTTCTGTTAGCTTGGCTGAATCATTTGTTTTGAGGATTGATTGATGCTGCTACCACAGCCAGTAAAATGGGGTGTGTCTGTCTTTTTAACCCTCTCCCACAAAAAAATAGTCACACAAAATGTGAAAACCTTAGAACAAGATCAACATGGCAAAAAGTTTGTGAAATGCTAGCCTCAGCCTTGGCTGCACTGATTTTGACCATTGCGTTAACGTAGAGATGTTAATTCTCATATGGGGAAAGATCTGAGCATTTATTATACCTCTGTTAGAGAGGTGTAAATAAAATTAGTCACTAATGGCTGTATGCTGTGAATCCACATGCCTCAATGCAACACAACAGTAATGGTCACAAGTCAAGGATTGAATTTGGTTTTGCATTTTTGTTTGAGAAATTACATGCTGAAGAATATTAAGGCACATTTTTGGAACTCGTGAAGTTGACTTTGAGGCAGTTTGAACAATTTGAAAGATTTCTGCTTGTGCATGTCATGTTCATGCACAAAATGAGTCTGTACAGTATGTAACTGAAGCAATAGGTACTTAAGAGACAACAGGGAGTTCAAGCCGAATGAAGAGGGCTGATGTAATCAAGAATGAAGGCTTCAGATTTGGTTGAAGGTGAATAAAGGAAATGTTTGTGTCTCCATGCTGTGGCCAAATACTTTTGATGTAGTTTTTAACCCATGCTGCCCCAGAAACCCTGGATCAATACAATATGCTGAAATTCTGAACTCCCCATGACCTAACTAAGAATGAGCATGCGCTAAGAGTTGTATTCCATCGAAAGAAACAGTTGTCATTTGAGATTGTTAGAGATTACATTCTCAAATTAATGAAACTCACAGTAGGTGATTTAGAAATCAACCTTAGTTTGTAGGATACTTCAAGAACAATAAAATCTAGGCCAAGTTTTTCAGCAAAGACAATAAGCTGGCACAGGAGGAGGTCATAGTAATGGAAATGGCAGAGGTGGTTCCAAGAGAGTTCATTCCCTGTTCCAACAGGGTAAGTCCTCCAGATTTCATTGAGTTCATGGCCATGTTTACAGTTTGACTCAGAAATGCAGTTGTCCATTTTTTGGCAGTAAATAACTAGTTAAATGTCACCATGTCCAGTCCATGTGATATGCCCATGGAAAAGTTAGTCAGGTCCAGGCAGTTTGCAAGGAGTGTAGCAGACGATAATATTCCAGTTTGTGGTAAAACTCTGGTTCATCACCATGTATAAAGTCGCAGTCATAGTAGATCCAAAGGTAGTTTGGAAAACCTTGAGTGTACATAGGATTTGGAAACAGAAATTGATTTATTGAGCATGAAGATCTGACTGAGGAAGAGCATAAGTAACTTTGTCGTCCAAATTCCTACCAAATGGAAGTAAGAAAGAAAGTTAATGAGAGTCACAAAGTACTGAATGATATCACGGGATCCATCAGTAGAGCAAAGTGAATCAGGGTCTTTGAATTAAGACCAAACAATATCACTGTGCCAACCGTTAAGTGGAATTGATAGTCAGAGTTGGGAGTTGACACAGTTGGAGATGTTGAGAGAGAAGAATTAAGCAGAAGCTAATAGAAATTGAAGGAGAGAGCCAGACATAAAGAGAAAGAAGCCAAATAGGTTAATTGAAAATAGGAAGGAAAAAGAAATAAACTCTTCTCATGAATAAAAATATTATTATTTGGCAAAAAATAAAGACCTACTGATGTCAAAGTGAAGCAATTTTCACTTGAAAAATCACAATCAGCCATATGTCTGGTTGTGATTACAGTAAAAACAAATATGCAAGCAAATTTGTAATGTTTTCAGGTATTGTTGATGGTTTAGGCATTATATTCTAGGAACCTATGTACATGTATCATTTTACATTTTAAAAGACAAGTTTTTTTAAACAGGGGAGGAAGTGTAGTATATTGCAAGTTCTGACCATAATGTTATATTGTTCTCTGTTGCCCTCTAGGTTGTAGAGACGTGAATGAAGTTATTCATTAATGGCTGTCTGCACTGCATCCATGTCTTTTTTTTCTCTCGGTGCAATCTACAATATTACTGACCGCTTTAATTAAAGCAGTGTCGATGAACACGTTCTCCAGTAATTTTGCAGAAGGGAAAAGAGGCTGGTATGGGTACAAGATGAATGTCCAGATTTGTTCACTTAAATTATTGACAGGAATTTTGACCTTTTTTTAGTTTGTCAAATGACTAAATTTAGTATTTGATGCAAAGAAAGTTCATTAGGATTGAGTTTAATGTAACATATCATAGATCAGAAAGCACAGAAGACCATTTGGCTCATCATGCTCATGTATGTTCTTTTAAAGAACAATTCAGTTCAGACATCAAGAGATTCCCCATCTCATAGATATATACAGCAGGGAAACAGACCCTTTGGTCCAAATCCTCCATACCGACCAGATATCCTATATAAATCTCGAATTATTTGCCAGCATTTGACCCATATCCTTCTAAACCCTTCCTGTTCATGCACCCATCCAGATGCCTTTTAAATCTTGTAACTGTAGCAGCCTCCACCATTTCCTCTGGCAGCTTGTTCCATACATGCATCACCCTCTGCGTGGGAAAAAAGTTGCCCCTAAGGTCCCTTTTATACCTTTTTCCTTTCATCTTAAACTTATG